AATTAGCCTTGCAAAACGCGAATCAATACGAACAAGCACACACCCGAAGAACGTGCGTAAGCAAATTTTGAGCCCCCAACCTGTTCCGCTTTCTATGCTGCATAATAGATAAACTTATATACGTATATGTAAATAAGCACTCCGGAGCCTGTACTATAGGGTCTGATATATAGTTTAAAGGTATACTTATATTGACTTGACAATACTAGCCTCCCCCATACCAGGATGTTTTACTTTCTGGACGAGCGAGGGCCCTCCGGCGAGTCGGGCCCCCCAAGGGGGCCGCCCAGCAGCGCCCACTGGCCGCCCCCCTTACGCATAGTATACGCGCCGTACAGAGCGAACTAACTCCGTTTCAGCTTCTATAAACTCACTCATATGTGTGTTTATATATAGATACTTATTTAAATACGCAATTTCGGTGCCCACCTACAGGCACGTGCATAGCTTAAATCAATTTGCCAAGTAATTTCATTGCGAACAACTGATTGGATTCAAGTAGGCAATTATAAATTTGAGGTTTGCAGCTTTCGTGTTAGAAAATTGTTTGTGACGTTAAGTTTTTACCAGCTACTATTCTTCATAAACTTTGGTACTTGTATTAAACTTGTGTTATAGGAGTATTTGCATATGACATTAATTAAAATTTGTTTTCTATTATGGTAGGTATACCTACCCAGAAAGTTGAAAATGTAATCTGGGCAACCCCTTCTTAACTTTTAAGCTGGCCGGACGCGTCTTTCCGTTCTATACATGGCCAGAACGCACCCATAGGAAACTGCTCGTGTATATTTTGTAGTGCCCGTTTGTAAATCTGTGACTCCAAACTATACACGAATTTTGCGTACTGGTCGTGTATAGTTTGGAGGAGCTTAGTAAAAAAAGTCATCTCCAAACTATACTCGATTAGTTTCACACCCTTGCGTTCTGGCTATGTATAGAACGGAAAGACGCTGGCCGGACACTTCATGCTAAAAAAGTGCTGTGACAGGAGTAGGTTATGGCTAACTATGTCCGCGCCAAACGAAACAGGCAATTTGGAAATAAGACGTGGATTTGGATTGTGGTCACTTCATAATAACTTTCTAGTAGTTTTCCAAAATAGTTTAGAGTACCTACTCGTAGTTACAAAAATAATGGTTTTAATGTTAGTAGGTGTACCTAACTACCTAAGTGACGTAACATAAAACTTCTAAAACACCGAGATAGTACTTTTCGTAAAAGTACAAAGAATCGGCTCTTGCTAAAAACTTCACAACTAAAAACAGGCCAAGTGCGAGTCTCGGACTCGCGCACCGAAGGTTCCGTAGAAACCTGTAGGTACCTATAGAACTTTTATTTTGTTACAGCTTAAAGGTACTATAGACCTGAGTAGGTATTTGATATTAATTTCAATTTAATACCTCTACGTGTTCATGAGGAAAAGAGTATTAGCACATGAGTAAAGAAAAGGAACAGAGACAAAGCTAAAGCTGGTGTGATAAATTTTAATTTCGATACGCGTTAAATATTGCTGTGAGTAATAACTATTCCAGAATCAGGCATTTCCTGCAGGATTTTATTGGTGATGAGGTCATAATATCCAGGTGATTTGTTTGGGTTGGCTTTTTGTATTACTCTTCTGACCTATGGGTACCTATGCGTTTCAAAGAATACATATAGGTACATACCAAGTTTCAACAGTGCTCTTAAAGATTCGGAAAAAAGTGGCTGTGACATACGGACGGACAGACAAACAGACATGACGAAACCGTTTTTTGCCATTGACTACGGAACCCTAATAAAAAAACCGAGATAATAAGTAATTATCGCAAAAGTACAAAGAATCGGGTCTTGCTAAAAACTTCACAACAAAAAATGTGAAAAGTAAATAATAAAAGAAAAACAGACACTTCGTTTTTACTTAAATTCCGGCTTCATCTTCAGCCGGGCTAGGATGTACGCCGTGATAAAATCTTATCGATAATTTCAGACGACAAATGTATGAGTTTAACGCGTAAAATCGATAAAACGCTTACCGCGGCGCGCATCCTAGGCCTACAGGATAAGCTAGCTCGTCACAAACAAAGACCACGATAAATCAGTGGTTAACCTAGCTTAGGTATTCGAAAGTACCTATAGACAGTGGAGATACCTATTAAGGCTGGATTGCACCATCTTTGACTTTGACAAACGTCAAAAATCTGTCAAACTCCATACAAAAAACACCGGTTATCGTTATAGTTACGGTCAAAGTTTGGTCGTGCAACTCAGCCTAAGTCTATTCAAGAAAGAAGACCGGACCATAAAAGCACGTTAGGAAGTAATAATACCTAACTATAAGCAGATCCTGAAAATATTTTTTAAGGAATGTTTATCCTCATTATTAATTTACATACTCGTAGATGTTATTGCTTACACGTGTTCTGAAGAATATTAATATTTAAGTAAAGATATTTTTCAGGCTTTCATACAAATTAATAATTAATGTTTACTACAATTTCAATGCTACCTACTTAAATCGTTGCCTCTTACTTAGGTATTTAATAAATCTGACTTAGTTTTGTTCGTCTTCGTGTACTAGGTTTTTTCGATTTAGGTTTATTATTTAAGTAGGTAGACATACATTTTACTTTATGTGTGTTATTTTGTGTGAATTTCTGGATCGTAAGACTTCTTATTTAACGGACTGGTCCTGAGCCCCTGTCTGTGAAGAGCAAAAAGATACCTACTTTAGTAACCAAATCTAGTTTTAAATCCACTCATGTTTTTCAAATATAAATATAAATAAATAAATCTTTAGACAATAAATCTTTAGACAATTTCACACATCGCCAGCTAGCCCCAAAGTAAGCAACTTAATGCTTGTGTTATGGGTGCTAGCTTAACGGATATACTACTTATATACTTTTTTTTTAAATACATACATATTATACATAGTAACACCCAGACCCGTCACAGAAATTAAAATTCATCATTTCAATTTCTGCCCGGCCGGGAATCGAACCCGGGACCTCTTGGCATAGTAGCACGTTCTGAACCACTACACCAAACGGCCGACGGGTATACGCCCGTAATATGTATTAGAAGAAATGGCTTCATAGTCATAAACCCGCATGTAAATTGTGCCCTACCTTTTTCTTTCTTATTTTGTGTGATTTTTATAATATCGTCGTTGACGAGTGAGTCGTTTTTACCAAAAACACTTTTTAATGTAATAATTTTATTAAGAAAACCTCGTAAAAATATTCAGGGGACGGTTTTTTCTCTCCTGAAATTTTTTGTTTTCGGTACTCCCGAGGTTTTCACTCGTCAAAGATGATATTGTCTATCGAAACAGATAAAATTAAATGTAGATGATAATATTATTGTGATAGACTGAACTTTATTAAGCTAAGTAATAAGTATCACTGTGGTATCACGGTCTCAAGACTTCTACGTAAGTAGTACCTAGCCGCGAAATGAACGGCGATCGATGCAAAAAATGATAACTATAAACTATTTTTCTTTCTTTTCTTTTCTTTCAAATGACCGCTAACAAATAAATATACATATATAAACATATTGAGAAATCAAATGAATGTTTTTCATTATCATTCGCTATTGTAGTATGTTTAAGTAGGTACTTAGTACTTATATTATTTATTAATTAACTTTACATAAGTTCATGATGTTATGTCAGATAAGTTGGTAGGTAATTATTATTAATATTCCGAAAACGGGTTTTCGGTTCTTAATTAGATCGTTGCGTTATTATGAATCAAACAAATGATGAAGATCTAGGCGCAAGACTCAAACAGGACAAGTAGGTACTTAATATCGACCTACGTTTCTAGATTTCAGACTACAGGTAGGTACTGGCCTTACCATGAGTTTACGTTAGGAGCTCGCTAGCGAATACGTCAAAAAATTCTATGAAGATTTTATTTCTTGAAAGTAGTCGCTAGGGGCGCTGCACAATATGTCATACATTTAAATGTCATTTTTTTACGCAGTCGCTAGCGAGCACACCTAACGTAAACTCATGGTAGGCACACAGAACAGACAAACCGTGATGCCCGTATTCTTTCAAAGTGCTGTTTAAAAACCTACTTGCATAAATAAATGAGTTTTATGAGTTTTTTTTAGTTTTTCCTTCGAAATATTTTACGGATTTTGATTCCTTTCATAAGAGGCAATGCGTGTCGTTTTGCCATAATCTCCACGCTTAGCAGGCGGGTTGGCGATCGCAGTTTCAAAAATTTATGTTTATCAGACTTACTTAGGTTATTATAGGTTACTTTAACCCTTAACCAGGCTCAAAAAAGTCATTGGTATTTAACCGTATCTTCACAGCATAAAGTTCAAATTGAAGTGGGCTCTAGATACCTTAGCCCTACTAATGTTTTTAGAAGTTAGAATCTGTTTACAGGTGGCGCCCTCAGTGACGTTACACCAACAAAAGACCTTCCAACACATAAGTTAGTACCCGTTTATTCCGCTACTAGCGCGCTAGTCATCAATTTTTTTATCACCCTGTTAGGTAATTAACGTCGAGGTTCTTTGCGATGTAGGGATTTATACTGTTTATTTTTTAAGATGTGATCAGATACAAAACTAGACCGTTTGTGTACCTTACTTGTAGCTGTAAATGTCATGATTTTATAATTCTTTAGTATTTTAATTAGGTATGAAGCCTTTCCGTTTTAATGCATAATGAATGATGGGTAAACAGCTACTGCATTAACTAATTACATAGCCCATAAGGTAAGTAAATAATAATAAAAAAATAAAACACTGTTAGAGAGAAGAAAGATTTAATAAATAGATATAATAATTTTATTCTAAAACAGAGTATCAGAACTAGAAGGTCAATTTCAAAGAAAATGATGTTAGGAATCACAAATTGACTACACAGAACGATAAACTCTTGAGACAAAATGCATTTTAGATTTTCAAAGCGTTACATAAAAAGTATGATCGTTTCACTCGATATATGTTGACGCCCTGAAACTTTTTAAATGTCTTTTATGATGTTCCACTGATCTTCAAGCTAGCTACTTACATCGTTTTAGATTAATATTTATTTAATATACTTACAAAATTGTCTCATAATTTTCATAAAGCGTCCTTGTGACTTCACCTACACCTATATGCATAATTATATAAATATCTATTTAAGTATCTATCTATACCTACACTAAAAAGTTTCAGTGCCCAATAGTTCAACAATCAAGTAGGTTCCTAACACTGACCAGTGACCATACCTTTTATTAAACCTTAAAACATTTAACTTTTGAGCCAAACATTTAATTTAAACTTCGGTAAGTTTCAGTGTACATAGATATACCATGGTACAATTTTCTCAAAGAGCAGGGTGCTATTAAGAATAAAAATCGAACGATCGATATTTAAGCTGTGTATCATGCGAAATGAAGACCGCGCCACGCCGATTTAATGGTTAAATTGTTTTGATATGTCATACACAACGATAGTGAAACACGATTTAATTTAACATCGGAGTTTAACCCGAATGTAAAGGTACCAATTTCTTACTTATGTACCACTACCACTCTTGTACGCGTACATTTGGTCCTTGGAATTGAAATTATTCGAGAGTTTTGGTATTAATCAGAAACTAGTACATACAAATGTTCACTAAGTTGTTTCAACAGAATTAACATTTACGATCTGCCAAAATTCACTTAAAGTCAAATCAAAATGATGCTTTTTTATTTTCGCTTGCTTCCTAACAACTCTTCTCCATTACCTATTGCTCGGTTTATGATACTCTTTGCTATAATCAGAAAAACACTCTTTTAAAGTTAATTTTTAATCATGTACTTACCTACTGTCAAGATAGAATCATTACGCTATGCGTCTACACTTCCCTTGTTTAATCGTGCCTTTTGTTAAGTATTTCTTTGTATCTTGTATGGCATCATTTAAAAGCATAACTAAACCTTCCTTGTACTTAAATACATCCTAATTCTAGTTTGTACTGCATTCCAAAAAGGTCTATGAACAATTGAAACCTGTGACAGATCGTTACTTAAACGTGAAATACTCTCTCAGTAAATTACTAGCAATTGAATTCCAATTTTCATTGTTACAGTCAATATCATTGACGTTAATTATAAGACTTTAAAGATATTATAATTCTAGGTAAAGGTTAACTAAAGAACTAGCTTCGACAATAACTTCACATTATGAACTTATAACGCTACTCTCGGGTCTTTTATAAACTAAGGTGATGTTTGTCAGATTATGGTTCCACCCTGGGCCTACCACTACATCGCTTGGGGCAAACGGTCCATCCACCGACGACTCGCATGCGGTTAGTTGCCCAAAGTGGCCACCAGAGCGCGCCTCCCTCATCTCGAGTCAATAGCACCCTGTGTATTCAGGTAACGTACTCTCTAAGATACCTTCACGTATCAAACAATTATAATTATGCTAAACATGTATTAGTTATTCATAATTACAAAATGAAAAGTAATAATATAGATTTATTATCTAACAATCCTTTAATCTCATAGGACATTTTATGCACCATAGATTATATTCAGTGATGATAATAAATAGTGTCGAGCATAAATAAAGGAAGGCATAGTAAGCCTACGTGGATAGAGCGAAACCTATCTAACTAGGTGTTAAGAGGGAAATGGTGATCTCATAATAAGATAAATTTAGATAGTACAAGTATACATACAATATGAACCGCCCTTGAGCTGTCAACGTTAACACCAATTAAGTAAAAATTAGCACCCTTGTAATGCTAGCAATAAACTAGAATGGTGCTACTAACTCTTCTAGGTAACCATAGAACTTTAAATGGATTTATTGTATTTATTGTAAAGGCCAAAAATTACATTCGTAGTTTATTCGTCTACTGCTTATAATACTGGAAGACCGAAAATCAACTGGCGCGTATAAAGAAATCAGACGATTTAAGGAAGGCTGGGCCGATACTAGTTTGTCGAAATTAATCCTTAATTATCTACATCGAAGACTGTGATGATTCGATTGAAAAAAATACTTAGTAAATGACCTAATAAGTAAGCGCATATTCAATAAATCATAAAAATCGGACCCATAGGGATAGCGTTTTAACAAAATATTATTATTATAAGTAATTACGTACAAAATTTATGGTGTCAGGTGAAAAGCATTACAAAATTTTAACCTATCTGCGTAAAATTAAAAAAATGGAGAGACCATAGAGATAGTTCAATAATTTGGAAGCCAATAACAAACAGGTCTAATTAAATTCCACAACCAAAACCAAACTTTTCAACATTTGGTGATACTGTAATGTGACTAGATAGGTAGTTACCTAGCTTAATATTCTCTATTAACATGATTGTGATGATATTTTAATGCTATTTTATAAATTGAATATAAATGTTTAACAGAATATAAAAGTAATTATTTGTACAATAATCACACAAACTAATAAAATACAGTATTTTCTCGCTAATCAGCCGTTTTTTGTCAGACACAAGCCGTCGTATTTTGATTCAGAATTTTAGGATTTATCCTCAAATTATTATGATTTAATTATTTATTTATGATTTCATCAAGTTATTTATTTATTATCATACTTTTACAAGAAATATGTAGGCATATTGTTGATTACAAATCAAATAACTATATTTTAATTTGTTATTTATGTTGTGTTCATCAACACTACGTAAGTCTGCCTTTTTTGGTAATCAATGGAAGGATATGATTGGATGGAATTTTTGGGGGAGATTAGCGAGTAAGTTCTGTATTTCTAATACGTACATATTATTCCTGATTAATATAATAAAAATATATTTTTCTTTGTAGCGGAAAACTAGTTTTAACCTTTCTAACATCCTGTAATCTTAATTAAATATAATTTACATACCAGCCCGGACAAGGCCGGAACAAGTTACATGTCGTATAAAATGCATAAGAAACTAAGCTGGCTGAATTTGTAAAAAATCATAGGCCCACAGAAGTACGGAACACGCGATTAGTCGTGCAAGCACGGTCCGGGCGACGTTGCCGCTTCGCCGGCGCGCGCGCACAATGCATTTTTTTCTGTGAAACTACCACGTGTTTCGTGTGTACCCGGCTAATCTACGCGAACCGAGCAGCTAAGCTGTTTACAACTAATATCTAACAATAAATCAGACTTGGTCGATTGAAAACCTTTTATACAGAAATAACAACTAATTTCTAGAAACACAATTAAGCAAAATATTGATCAATGGATTTATTGAACTGTATACTAGTACGGCAGTTCACCTGACACCCACTAGACATCTTAAAGCAGTAGATAATTATTATTTGCCAGCGATAGATCGCAACCGATTATAGAATCATCTGCACGTTGGAAATTTTACAAAATGCGGTACAGCATTATATCACTATTGGTACTCCTGAAGAGAAACGACAGGGCCTGCTGATGCAGTTTGTAACATTGCTCAGGACTCTGATATATCTATTTAATAAAATACAAATAGGCAATAGGATACATGACACCATACAACATTAATTTATACAATAAGTATTCTGAGAATCATCATGGATTGACTGACACCGTTACTTTCGGTGGTCTTATTTAGGAAAAGTACAGGATCAAGATAGAATTAACGTTTGCATCAGTTTCATTAAAAAGAAGAACATGAATAGTAAATTATTAATTGACTTTGGTTGAAAATATCGAGAAGCATCTTCAAAATAATGTCTGATGGTGCCTGTACCCTAATGTGTCCAGAATGAGACGTCACGACAGAAGAAATTACAAGTTACATAAATGACAGACATGGAAATATAACATTTACTATCGAATAAACGACAAATATTCGTAAAATCTGACGAACACCTAACAATCTGTACATAAATTTAAAATATAATATATTAAAAATATTGATTCTCTTTTACACTTCAACATCGAGATTTTAGAAATTTATTATTGCGGGGTTCCGTATTTGTGGCGAGGCTGCACGTGAGCACTACCAGCTTTACTGTAGCTCCTGGCAGCCGGCCGAGGCAGTTAGTACGGAGCTGCACTCGCGACCAGTGACTGCTGCCTGCTCACAGGCTCTATCTGATCTGCCCAGGATATATTCCAGCTAGACTATGTCAAAGCACAACCCTACGGAACTATAGGAAGGAACTACGGAATTTACGAGTACTTCTAGCTAAGCTTCTGGCAGTAGTTATAATTAGGAATTCAGTTCATTAGTTTTATTATTTTATAGTCTATAAGTGAATCATATTGAAACGAGATATCAACACACAGACTAGCTAGAATATAACCTTTTTTTTCTATAAGTCGCAATAAGAATGGTCATTCAATGGCATAGCTTTTTAGCAGTTCTAGTACGAACCGAAATCTAGCAATTGAACGACTAACGACAGCGCTAGTCTTGAAGGCACGACTCGCCGGCATTCTTGTATGTACTTACATATGGCAAATATTGTAATCGATTCACATACTAGATACTTCAAATAGTCTACATAGATATAATATGTGAGGACGATGAAGCTGCGACTTGTACTCGTAAGAAGATATCAATATCCAATCAATTCCACAATAAAGACCATACAATGTTAGTTAAACACCGAAGCATACATTTAACACGTTAATAACCAAATTGTGCGAGAAATAAATAATTGTGCATTTGATTCGATATCCGTGGATAAAACTAGCTAGCTAACAGAGAAGCGAAATAAAATGTCAATATATTATAAAGTAATTTTATAATACAAATAAAAATGAGAATCCATTCAAAATACATCAATAAAAAGCCATAAAAATAAATCTAAACATGAATGACAAAATTAAAGCGTGCATCAAATATTCGTGTTAGTAAAAGCCTAGTGAAAACAATAATTAGATTGCATTGCGTTAGTTAGTGGTAAGGCGGCGCGTGCGCCGAGTGAAGGCAGAAGCGTCCTTCACGCTTTAACAATACATAGATAATAAATACACGCATAGTCGACGACATAAACTTCTAAAACGTGAACGAGAATTGATTAGTGAGTGTTACGCTTGTTTTAGAAATTTATGTATATCTTTATACAAACTACACACGAAAATGATATTTTGTCTTAAAACACGCCATTTGTACGATTAATTCTCGCCGTGCGAAGATAAAGAGAAGCGGTGACGGGAGCACTGCCTACAGGTCAAACCTTAACATTTGCAGGTGAAATCATACGTCGGACGAGACTCGTAATCGCTAAAATTAAATAAAAGTAAACTGCAGTAAACATACTTAAAAATATTTTAGTAATATATGTCGGCTTATATTACAGTCAATAACTACCGGTTAGCTTACATAAACTGTGCTTGCTTAAAACGTGAACGCATAAAACATCTACTTGAAATACTACTTGCTTATAAGACGAATCAACTGTGGTGACCAACATGGAAAGCTATTATAATTTCAGGCCCGTATTAGGAAACGATACCTACCCAAAATCTGTTTTTATTATTGATGATAATATTCTGTTTTATCAACCACAAGACAATTTAACCCATAAGTTTTGGGTTCGATTCAGAATACGAGCCATAATATTATACAAATTTGCCATATCAGTAGATCTCTTGTTACTTTTAGAACAACAGCGGTATTTTGTACTATGTTGTTAGAAACACATATTTTACATTACATTTCTAATATACACAAAAATAATCAAGTGTTTGTGTCACACAATCTAATATACATATTTAGCGTATTATATTACAGAGTTATTGTCTTGAATCGCCAAGTGATCACCAACAGTTTAAGCAGTTCCTTCATCGGGTTTAACTTGCTATTGCTTACACCGGCAACACGAAAGAATACCAAACCTACTGTTAAAATGTAATATAACATAACACTATGTACGAAAAGATCCACAAATTAAAACAACAAAATAATTGATTAATAATACTTGGCTGACTCCAAAACTAAATAGTTTTTTATTTTTTTCTCATCCTTTAAAACTAAAACCTTAATATTATAAGCTATTTGAATAAATCAGCATAATATGTTTCGTATAATTAAAAATAATTGTACAAGTTATCGTTTATCATAATATCTGATTCCTTTGATGCGTTATTTCTTCTTATTGTGCTATGTCCGCTATCTCCCAATGCAAGCGCCCAATAAACATTAATTTGTCAAAAATCAAATATTAAAATATGTATAATTTCATAAGGCAAAACGAGGTTAACTGATTGAGTGTAAATGTATATAAATTATTATAATTTGAAATGTTCATACAATAAAAGTATGAATGCCAGCTGTTTTGTAGGAGCTGCATTGAGGAAAAAGCTACGTAATACCGTATACTGCCATCTGTTGTAGTTCTATTGAACAACATAGGCGCACTGCCCCAAACGCTCCCTTGACGAGTCGCGACATCTATCGGCGACAGAGCAAACTACAATGTTCACCCGCAGATAGTCAGCCCGCGTCAACACTTAATTTAAACTGAAGAAATGGAAGAAAGGTTCGTCACAAGACACTGCGCTTATGTAGAAACACCATTCAATTGGAAGCGAATGTTTGAAGCTACGGAATTTTTATCTATAGGGTAAGGCTATAATTATACTTATAAGGTATATAGGAAAGACACAATAATAGTTTCAATATAAGATCTATGGTTGCAATACGAGATACCTTGATTCATTAAATCTACATGACCCTATTCAAACGAGTAACCCCAAAATTCTCATATTACAGCCATTTGTGATGCGTAGTGGAATACTAACGGATGGAAGTTTAGAATTTAGCCTGGCGACCTCGGATGCACTGGCTGGCCGTGCAGATGGCACATCATGACTCCTGATTACAAGTCCTCTACGTCAGAAAAGTTTACATTAACATATCCATATTTATACATCTTCATTCTATAACGACCATTATCCTGTAGACTGGCTGCTGGCCATAACAAGTCAGGGAAAACTCCGTTACAAACTCAACAATTCAGGATCCAACTATACATTATTATCTTGCTTATAATTTCGTCGTTATTTTGTACCAAGAATTTCAAGTTATTGCAATCTTACATTAATTAAATTTTACGAATAGCTGAATAGCTGAGAACATTAAAGGGACCCTCTCCCGAACCGTACGAAAGTAGCCCACTTGAAATGAAAATCCTGAACCATAACCTATGAATGATAACGTAAACATTGTCCTCGTAATCCCTATTTGAAGCAGCTGTACATTCTCAGCCAAGCAACAGGACAAGAATCTGTAGACTTCACTTATACGCCGCGCACTAGCTCTTACAAGCATGGTTATAGGAGTGATATTTATACTAACATTGTGGGTAGGTGAGGAGCGGGTGGTCTCGCGAGGTTTAGTATCGAGGGTATCACTGGGACTGCGGGTCGCACTGCAGGAGCCGCACGATGGAGGGGTCGCTTTTGGCGCCCTCTATGAACTCTTCGAGCGAGAGCTTCCCGTCCTTGTTTCGGTCCATCTGCCGGAATATTTTGTCGGTGCGCTTCTCCGGCGTAGACTCGTCTTCCGGCATCTTCATGACGGACCCCACCATTTTGTAAATGGCCTGGAAAATTACAGGGAAACATGTTAAGTAATAAAGACTGAACTGCAGAACAGCTCATCATCACCTCAGCCATAGGACGTCCATTGTTGAACATAGGCCTCCCCCAATTCTTTCCATGTTGCCCGGTTGGTAGCGGCCTGCGTCCAGCGCCTTCCTGCTACCTTTATGATGTCTTCGGTCCACCAGAAGAGCTGCTGAGTCTTAAAGTTATATAATACGTACTAAGCATTGCTGTTAATGCCTGTAGAATCATGAGCGTCTAGTAGTGAAAAGCGTACGCTGGCATTAAATTGTCTGTGAAGAAACCACTGTAGTATCTAGCTCGCGGTCTGTGTCAATATTAGCCGCGTGCAGCATCACTTGGATGTATTATAAATTTTATAAAATCCGATTTGTATGAAAATTAAAATAATTAAAACGAAGATATCAATTTTCTGACTTTACCATACCATTTATATGCCCATGTTAACATGGGCTAGTGTCGGTTCATATACCCATTTACCTAACACCCTGTATAAGTAATTACTTACTGTGTCCGCTATAGATAATTTAGCCTACGTACTTATAGTTATACTCGTGCTAACTAGCGGCCGCTTGCGACTTCGTACGCGTGGATCCCGTTTTAGCCCCTTAGGGGTGGAGTTTCGTAAAATCCTTTCTTAGCGGATGCCTACGTCATAACATCTACCTGCATGCCAAACAGCCCGATCCGTCCAGTGGTTTGGGCTGAGCGTTGATAGATCACTATGTCAGTCAGTCAATCTTCACTAGGTGGGAGAATCGCTAGAATCAAGTGGTAGTGGGCGGGGCACATAGCTCGCAGAGCTGATGGCCGCTAGGGTAGAAAAGCTCTCGAGTGGCGACCATGCCGGAATACGTAATGTGGGCAGGCAGCCCACTAGGTGGACCAACGATCTGGTGAAGGTCGTGGGAGGTGCCTGGATGCGGGCGGCGCAGGACCCGTCTTTGTGAAAATCCTTGGGGGGGGCCTTTGTCCAGCAGTGGACGTCATTCGGCTGAAACGAACGAACGAACTAACTAGGTGGGTCTCATTAAAAGCAAATTTCGTTAGACGCTAAACTGTAGATCCTGGCTAGACAAAAATTACCGAACTGGGAAAAAGATGTGGGATTAGTCCCGTATACTTACAGTGACAATCTCGAACATCTGTACCCGTTGCAGTTTTGTACCGAGCGAACTTAAGAACTGAATGACTATGTATGTATCTGTGGTATTAATTTAAAGTTTATAATATTACCTTTAAAATGGTGCCATTTTTATTTGCCTTCTATTAGTCATTTAGTTTTTGTGATCGCTCGAAACAAATAGGGTGATTCCATATTTTTGCTCGCGAGTGTAGTTGCGTCTCATTGAAGGCCAAATTGTATGTCTTGGTTATACAGCAGCTGCCGTGGTGAGTATAGTTCCGTATACTTAGTGACAATCTCGAGCATCTCCTGCCGCGAGATGTACCCGTTACCATCACGATCGTGCATGGAGACGGCCTACTTGAGCTTCTGCTCCAGTTTCGTTATAAGACAGTAAATCTATCAAACTGCAGACCCTCGTTATACAGAAGCTGCAGTGATGGAAAAGATAGGTGGGAATGGTCCCATATACTTACAGTGACAATCTCGAGCATCTCCTGCCGCGAGATGTACCCGTTACCATAAAGATCGTGCATGGAGACGGCCTACTTGAGCTTCTGTTCCAGTTTTCCGCGCGAGCTGCGTTAGATACAGAAGTTGCCGACGTGGGAACGAGAGGTGGGAAAAGTCCAGTATACTTACAGTGACAATCTCGAGCATCTCCTGCCGCGAGATGTACCCGTTACCATAAAGATCGTGCATGGAGACGGCCTACTTGAGCTTCTGTTCCAGTTTTCCGCGCGAGGTGCGTTAGATACAGGAGTTGTTGACGTGGGAACGAGAGGCGGGAATAGTCCCATATACTTACAGTGACAATCTCGAGCATCTCTTGCCGCGAGATGTACCCGTTGCCGTCGAGATCGTACATGGAGAAGGCCCACTTGAGCTTCTGTTCCAGTTTTCCGCGCGAGGTGCGTTAGATACAGGAGTTGCCGACGTGGGAACGAGAGGTGGGAAAAGTCCAGTATACTTACAGTGACAATCTCGAGCATCTCCTGCCGCGAGATGTACCCGTTACCATAAAGATCGTGCATGGAGACGGCCTACTTGAGCTTCTGTGTGCTTACCATGAGTTTACGTTACGTGTGCTCGCTAGCGACTGCGTAAAAAAATGACACCTAATTGTATGACATATTGTGCAGCGCCCCTAGCGGCTACTTTCAAGAAACAAAATCTCCATAGAGATTTTTGACGTTTTCGCTAGCGAGCACACCAAACGTAAACTCATGGTAGGTACACTGTTCCAGTTTTCCGCGCGAGCTACGTTAGATACAGAAGTTGCCGACGTGGGAACGAGAGGTGGGAAAAGTCCAGTATACTTACAGTGACAATCTCGAGCATCTCTTGCCGCGAGATGTACCCGTTGCCGTCGAGATCGTACATGGAGAAGGCCCACTTGAGCTTCTGCTCCAGTTTCCCGCGCGAGGTGACACTCAGCGCGCAGAGAAACTCTCGGAAGTCTATCGTGCCGTCTCCATTCGCGTCGAATGTCCGGAACACGTGCTCTGCAAACTGAAAGCATGCAAGCATTTAATGCAGAACTTCACCGGTAGATGGCGATTTATACAGATTTAAATGTTTGGAATAAAAAAACTTATGTAGTTAGGTATTATCTGTATATGAATATGTGACAGTATTTTTAATAAATAAATATAATTATGCTGGTACGTACCTTACTGGCATCTCCATACGGGAAGAAATTCCCATATATTTTCTTAAATTCTTCTACAGATAAGTGACCACTGGGACAATCTTTTAGGAATCCCTTATACCATTCTTGTATTTCGGCGTCTGTTAAAAAATAAACCGATGCATTAGTGTATTGGTTTTAATACGTATTAGTGATATAATTATGTGATTTATTATATTTATATTACAGATTTTTCTTGTTCAGTTTTGTTTTTTTATATTTTTTTAAATTTTTTACACTTTTAAAGCATAGATTTTAGTACATACTTTTATTGTTAGTTCATTATTACCTGAAAATTCCGTATTCTGCTTCAGATCTTCTAAGACCTCAGGCTTTAGTTTGCTATTTTGTTTACCCATCTTTGTGATGCTAAGCCAAATTATGTGATATAGGACGTTATAATACTTTACACAACCTGTTCTTTCAGTTAGTCAGATCTTGGGCCCTAAAACAGATATTTTCACACAATCTTTTACACAAAATGTAGTTAATCAAATTATTACAACATCTATATTTATACACACATTTGAAAAATACAACAAATACCTTTTGATTAAACTCCAAGCATTGTTACTCGTTCATTCGACTTAATTCTTAAATATAATTAAAAGGTAAAAAAATAAAGAAGCAAAAAAAACTGAACGAATTACGAACTATTTTCTTTTTGTAATTTGTATATTATACATGAATAGGCAAAATGTGAATCATTAAAAATATGTATTTGAAAAGTACATCAGAGTTGAGGGTATTGTATCCATCTATTACAGGTGCCAAGGTAGGTACTACTCTAATACGGGGACTAAGTTAATATTGACAACACCGCTTTAGGTAATATTGAGTGTGTACCATGCAAATATACATTTTTGCAAATGAAGTTTACAGTTTTGTCAAGACAGAACCTAGTGTTATTCGTAAATTATGTTAACTGGGCAATACAACTGGTAAGTAACGGAGGAAACTGTATGATAAAACTATCATGCCTGCCAATTTCTAGAATATTAAAAATTTCGTTTTGCAAAATTTGAACTTTTTATGCTAATAAGATAAAGAGGCCAACAGAGATTTGATGTTATTAATTCAAGTTATTTTTAGTTAGCCAATACTTAATTTACCTACGTGCAACTATTACACATTTAGGTACACATTAAATATAAATTTGAATTTTTAATATTAAATTTCGTTTACAAAAAGCTTGCGGCAAGTACTGGCTCAGTTTCGGACTAAGAAAGTTGACACAGGACGCTGTAAATTTTAAGGGCTAATTTATTTCCAAAATTCTATGGCCACATAGTGCGTTTCGTAGCTAAATTCACATCTTAAAACGTACCTATTCTATTACATATACTATAGAAATAAATAATACACAGTGTATTAAATGAATTGTGCTTGATGCTTACTATAAAATACAATTATTATGCATAAACTACACAACTAACACAAAAATTGATCAAATATGTTCATCGGTGTACATCATCAAAGTTAATATTTAACTGGTTGAACGAACCGGAGGCAATTTCGGCGGTAGAACTTACAAGTCGAAGATGCACTGCTTTACTGATTGATGGAATACTGTCACAATGTTCTTTAAGTAAGGAGAAGAGTGGTCTTCTCTCTGCAAATCTAGTCTTACATATTTCAAACATACACGATCTGACTTCCAATCAAAGGCATTGAATCAACAACAGGTAAGTACTTATTCAGATAACTTCACAATTAAACCTTAACCTCGATGGTCGTGTACACGTCTAATACTAAAATACTACTCTGTCAATAATTGAATACTGCGTTATAATGAAAAAATCTTATTAGGCGCGCACTCGGTCTGATGATCGGTCGGTCGGGTGAAACATTTCGCTGGAGCTCTTGCTCAAAATGTTTCACCCGCACGGACATACAAAGTAGTGCGTACAATCACCGCTCTCCTCGCTTTAAAATTAATATATCATAGTAAAATTACCTTAATAATAATATTGACAGAGTAATAATACACCCAAGTAGGCTTACAATTTATTGAGATTGATAATTGAGACCAAGAAGAAATTCTATAAAATGACCTGACGAAAAAGGAAAATCACAGATGAAATAGTTGTAATGACAACTATGGAAAGTTACGCGGGGACAGTAAATTAGACGACATTGTTGGTGAAGCGCACTAAGTACAGAAATCACCGTCTCGATCAAGCGCCATTACATTATCATTTTGTGCGTAGCAGATGTTGACACATTTTTACAATTCGTATTTTTTCCAATTTTCTTTATTACATGGCACAATTATAAACATAATACTAATTAAGCATACGAAACATGGCAACTTTTCACATTCATTTACTCATATCACTACAGAGTTGAGATTTATATTAAAAAGAGATATAATGTATAGTGCGGTGCCGCGTACGTGCGTTACGCTCCGAAAGGAAGTTTAAGTCCTTATGTGTACATAGATTGAGGACAAAGAGAAATGAGTAAGTACTAACTACTAAGACTACCGTGTAGCCCCGTTTACGATAATAGCAACTGACATAGGCCTGGGTCGCGTACTAATGCCAATAACAAAACCTAATTGACCGAAGGAAATTTTATTTCTCAGTTATTGAGATATGTTATATTCGCTTGAAACTTATATTACGTGTAAATATCTGAAAAGTACGCTGTGGTTCCTCCACAGCTTTGTCAGCTTAAAAGGCGCGCGCGCGTTATGGCAACTGAAGTTGAACCAATTTTAGTTGAATTAAAATCCAATTTTGTGATATGTCACACAACACCCTGTCTACGAGAACTACCTTCAGGTCCAAGATGAGTTATTGATCCCTCTTCTTTAATTGTATAAAATTCAGTCATTTCATTTCAATCATTTTTAAAAGTAAATTGTTCCTATGTTTCTCATTCTCGTTAATTGTTTGTTGCAGAACATTTGATCTCGTCTCAGTTCGGGGAAATGTTATAAATGAAGTATTAATGAATGTGAAATTATTAAAACATAACACATTACAATTTCGCTCGGATGTATTATGCTAGAACATCAAAGAATAAAACGATATAGTACCTAGAAGTGATACAATACAATGGGTAGAATAAATTATGCATTACAAAAATACTTAAATAGAATTCATTCATTAATGTACTCATTACGTTGGAATGTACATAATTAATCAATAATATAATAATTCAAAAGTTAGTTTAGTGCATAATGCTTACATTCTATTTCACAAAGTCAGTTTAAAAGCCTTATTCAACTATTAAATTGTAATCCAAAATATTATACTTCAAGACCATTAATTTATTATATTTATACAAATCAAAGACTTGGCCTCCGATCTTCAATGGTATACTTATACAAATTTGATTTTTGATTTAAAATTGAAGCAGCGTTATTCCTAAAATGCTCCTTTGAAACATTGTTGTGACAAGTATTTTAAGAATACTTGAAGAAAACCGCGTCTTGGCGAAATGCGCAGTTATATTGACCGGGAATTTGTGCGATCCATATTAAATTACATTTAATTAAAACATTTGGAAACAAACTTAGAGCTATGTTGACGATTCGCGACCCCTTTCTCTGCGTTGCCATCGTGAAATTTAACAAAAACTACACAAAATTAAGCAACGACAACAACAAAATATACTAAAAGCTAAATATACAAACTAAAATTTGTGACTAGGGCACACTAACATATTTGGTACGTAAATGATAAATTCAAGGCGAATTTGGCATTTGGTGAGTTTTAAGGAGAGTTTGCGAACGTAAGGTAACTTGGAAAATATAAATGAACAGACGATGATCAGTAACGTATTTACAGAGAACTAGAAGGCACAGTAGTGGGGAAATGATGTGAACGCCTACAATACTCAGCGTAAAAATAACTTATGTCGTTATTACTAGAGTTGAAATTTCAAATATTAATTTTTATAGCCCTAAATTGTATAAAGAGAAAAACTCATTTATATTTAAAGCTCAGAAATAATGAAGGGAGAAGAAGCTCATAGAGGAGTTGGTTTAGAACCGACCTTGAAAATGGTGAAGATCCCTGATGAATGAACAAACGAAAACCACGATATTATACATATAAATAATACAAATTTTGTTACCCAATGTAAAATGTTACGGTTACTTTAATAGAACTTACATAGATCGCCTGAACAGAAGTGGCCAGAGTGAGATCCTCGACTCCGGCCCATTCTGTTTGCAGTTTGCACACCGCTACACTAATAGTTGTCTTAATAGTATAATTAAAGATTGACATTAGTTTATACTGTGCAGTTATTCCACGGATAGGAGGAAGGTTGAACCAGACAGATCGAGTACATCAGGGTTTATACGAGTATCATCTAAGAGGTGAACGGTTCGGACACATTACGTACTTATACTATTCGCGAAGTGGACAGTCCGACAACGACAGAAACTTCATAATAATCGACATACATTTTATCATTCTTAAATACCGATAGGAATGGACAATTTTAATACTCGAAAGCCACCGACGGCGTCGATGCTTATATTAATATATTTTTTACAAATCGACAAAAATGTTTGACCCAAAAGCGTGGGAAGCGCAGGTCGATCATTCTTCAAGAGGTGGAGGGGTGTACAAATGTTACGTCCCATTGGCGTTGTTAACCATTTTGGCTTCTGTTTTTAGAGCAGCGATTTAGGTTGGAAACGCAGTGTGGATCAAACATGTATGCAATCAATCGCTCTACTCGGAGTTTATTCCGGCCGCGTTTGGTTACGCCCGCACACAACTGACTGCATCCCACAAAAAGACACACACAAACTAGACTGCCTCTTCAGCTGAACTGTCGCGAAATACGGTAATAAATCTACGCACAAGGGGTGGTTTTGTATAAACTATGCATGCAAACCAAGCGTATGTTACACGCAACAGTTTATACGAAATTGCACCTTAGATGAATTGTGCTACAAACACACCGAGGCACGGTTAGCGTGCACAGACCTTAATCCATCGCTCGGAAACCGATTCAGTGAAACGTCCCACAAAAGGCACGGGCGCATATTTTCGCGAAGTTACTTCCACACGGGCACGGGGTTGGTTCACCAGCGCGATGCATAAAATAATGTTTTCACGAGCGCCGCACTTGTTACAATGCAAGACTCGGTCGCGAAAAACTCTATAACGCCGCGTCATTAAACGACGAAACGTACTGTACTGTGCTCTGCAAAACGGGGTTCAGCTTAAAAGGTATTTTACTGAGGGCATTTTTAGAGCTTTCGCTTGTTTTTGTTTTAAGCGGAGCCTGTTCTATTGTTGAACTGAAGGACGTTGTAGCTGTGGTTGTAGTTTCGTATCTACGAACGCTTTCGTGAAACTTGTTTAGGTAATTGTTCGAACGTTGGTATTTGATCGATGACCCCGTTTGTATCCCTCGATGAAACATCTAAAATTATTACAGTGAATTTGACTTTCTGAGTTTCAGAATTTAGTCGCCAAACAAGGTTTTTGACAAGACGATAAATTTGATACTTATTTCTGATTTCAAAATTACTGGTTTAATATGTGTGTGTCTTTTGGCCTTCTTTTAAATAGCTTTAAGAACCGAAATAGGAAAGCCTGCGGTCCTAATGAGCGAACTTCTCGCTGTGTTTCGGTTGTTTGGTGCAGGTATTTTCTTGTCAACGGCACATATAGTAATTGGCCAGCGGGAGAGTCTGGTAGGGGCGAGCGGCCGGGTTTGCATACATGTCTGTTTGTTGACGTACACAGTACGCGTGTTCTCTGTGCGCTGCGCAAACAGCGTCCGATCAGACACACACTGCGGCCTGCGCAGTTAGAAACTGAAGCACACGATTTACCCAACATTTTCCGCTTGTTAGCGACAGTTTATTTAACAAACATCGAAGTTGGTAATGCACACGGGAAATTCGAATTTTCCGACTGATTTTCTAGCCGGATTACTGAAAGGCTAACTGTATGCTGTGATAATTGAGGTGATCGGTGAATATTTGAGAAATTATGCCACCAGTCTCTAACTTAGCATGGTAACCGTGCGCAGAAGCGTTAGAAGTCACATGCTGCGGCATGAGAGTGTGACCTGCCCCACTCATGCCTGTCACACGACAGCCCACGTTCAAAAGTTACTCGAAAATTTAACCGTGCCATTGAAAACATAAATATTTCCGATATCACGGTTGGCAAAAAGCCCGTCGTTTGTCGGAGTGTGCTGAATACATATTTGCCCACAATTGGTTTGTTCGGGCGGGCGTACACTACGGATAAAAATCAGTTGGGGTGTATATGGAGGTTGGTTGGTACTAGTGTGATAGTTGTGAGAAAGTTCGCAAATAACACATCAGTATTGGAACGCAGCTGTATGCTGTCGTGTGGACAGAGAGCCACGGGGATCGTAAGGTACAAACAGCATCACTCTTACGTTTCTGAGTTCTAGGCAAACACTCACATTACAGGTTTCAAGTTCAAATGTTACGGTGTGCTTTGAAAATCTACGATAATGTTACCATCAACGCATCCACAAAAGCTCTGTAACTAGCAGAAATTTACTTTTTCGAATCAGAATTTGGTTATGCAACCAGCAGTTCTTTGATATAAAACCAAACTGCGAGTTATCAAATCGAATGGAATGCAATTGGAATTTGATGTTCTTACAGGTAGCTCAAACTGTTATGACTTATGAATGCATCAGATGGTGATGCTGTTTGTACAAGGGTAGGGGCGGGTAAGGGTTGCCGCTCTGGCGCTTAGGGCGCAAGCATCTTGGACAGCTCCTCGTCCTGGAGGCAGCCCTTGAGGAACTCGTCCTGCGTGAGTTGCCCGTCGTTGTTCTCGTCCATCTTGGCGAAGATGTTCTTGGCACGCTCCTCGGCGGAATCGGCCGGCCTGTTACTTGAGCACGCGCCAAGCATGTCATAGATCGCCTGCGGATACATTGTAGATAGTTATCAATTACATTGCAACTATACAGCCGAGTCGATATGATTATTTATTAAGGAACTTGACAATATATCCTTACAATATTTTTTGTTGGCAGACTTCATTTTAGATAGTAACACTGTTACTCGATATCAATGTTAAATATTTGTTAAATTAAAGTTTGACATGAATAATGAATGCAATTCATCGTCCTTTTTGCAATAAAATGCAAAGAAGCCACTTTGAGATCCACTAATTCTCCTAAAGCACGTTTGAAGACGCTGCAAGTACATACACATTATGCAGGGTGTTAGGTAAATGGGTATATGAGCCGATACTAGCCCATGTTAACATGGGCATATAAATGGTATGGTGAAGTCAGAAATTTGATAACTTCATTTTAGTTTTTTTAATTTTCATACAAAATAAATTTGATAAAATCCGATTTATATGAAAAATAAAATATTTAAAATGAAGATATCAATTTTCTGACTTTACCATACCATTTATATGACCATGTTAACATGGGCTAGTGTCGGCTCATATACCCATTTACCAAACACCCTGTAGTAAGCATGCAACAATTACTCACATAATTGAGCCAATTGTGCTGGTCCTAATTTGATAATGCTGTATTAATAGCCCTTTCACACAGCGGGATTAGATCCGCGCGAACCTAACACCTCGTTGCATTGTTACAAAGCATCCGTAATCTCTAATTAGGGCACAATCTAAACATACCTACTATAATCTGTCCGTGGCACGTGACGTCACGTAATTAATGCGGGCTCGCATGTCCATTCATAATTAATATGTAAATAGAATGCCATTCATGAACGCATAGGAAAATAATCGGTCAAGAGCAAGTATACTAGAGGAGAGATCCGTAGTTCCGTGCATTTCACAAGACTTTATTTTTTCTTTGAAGTAAAATAAAAATATATTAATATAATATTTTGTGGCTTGCAATGTGTAAAGAATACACATAAAAATAAAAAATATTCAGTCGCACAAAAATTCCGATGAATAATTTCATATTCAATTTTATAACTCTATTTTTTCAAAACGTAGGTATGTATAAAACAAGATTTTACAGTAGCACTAACTGGCATTAAAATTAATCTTCAGTTGGCTTCGATAAAGAATAATAATCGTAAAGAATCATTAAAGTCAAGTTCCTTTTAATCGACGACTGCAGCCTTCGTTTACATAAAAAAAATACAATATTCAAAGAACACAAATTGGCCAATTAATACTAACCTGAACAATCTTGGTCATCTCCTGGATATCAATGACCCCGTTTCCATCCACGTCGTACATGCGGAAAGCCCACTTCAGCTTCTCCTCAGGAGTGCCGCTCGATGTTACATGAATCGCCTGCAGAAATTCCTACAACAAACACATTCAACTCGATACAGGGTAAGACTTCCTCAGAGCAAACAACACAGAACAAGGAAGTCACTTGTTCAACTAACTCAACAACACTTCAAGTGTTAGCAATCAGGAATAACGTTGATTAAAGTCTAGTCAAACTCGCACTTAGCAGTTGAGACTTCGCCAAGCATTTACAATTAGTTTTCGCCAGCCAATCGCGTGATTGCAATTGAAAACGTTTGGGAATGTTACCTTAAAGTCTATGTATCCGTTCTTGTCCATGTCGAATGTGCGGAACACGTGGTCGCAAAACTCAACAGCGTTGCCCGAGGGGAAGAACATCTTGTACATGTCCACGAACTTGGCGGGCGTTAGTCTTCCATTGGGGCAGTCTTGCTGGAATTGTGAAAACAAAACGCATGACACAGAGAAATAGCGAAGCCCAAACGTAAATAATACCACGATAAAACTAACAAATTGTAACGACAGCGATAAATCCTAATAGGTTAGAAAAAGAAAACGAATTGCCCGTCGTTAGCGAAGGAGGTCCTGATTGGTATAATATTTTCAGGGGAGATTCGGAAAATTATGACGACATCAATCACGCGCCGCCGGCTCACCTTGAAACCTTTGTACCACTCCTTGATGGTGGTCTCGTCGTACGACGTGTGGGTCTTGAGGAAGTCCATGTCCTCCTTGGTGAGTTTGTCTTTACTGACGAAGCAACCCATTTTGATTCCTGTAACAATAGAAACACCGATTTAGATTTGAAAAGCAATTCGCATTCCACAAGCATTATTAGAAATGAAAATTACACCATTTGTAATTTAAGCTCTCCAAATTCGATGGATACAAACAACATTCGACTAAGTAAACAATTATATGTATTAATTCGTTAAACATTAGTTACTAATGCTAACAATCGAATGTCAATATTGAATTCTGTATGAAGCGGCGCAGTGTGCCTATAATAGGGAATTCATAGCGTTGTTAACATTAAATTCATTAACTAAATATTAACTCCGCAGTGGTTTAGACTAAAATTTGAGCGCACTTTTGGTATTATTTGGGAGCACAGCGTGAATATGCGACAAAGCAAAATGTGCCTTTGTATTTAATGCAGTAAAATAACGACACCGCATATTCTAGGCAGCTAGGTGTATCATTATGATGCTTTCACGTTCTATCTCGAAAATGGTGTAGATATAAAATATTCTTCTTCTTCTTCTTCTTCTTATTCGTTACGCTCTTGGCAGAGCGGTCGTGGTCACGTATTAAAAAAATATTGCCTGCTTTCAAATTTGTACAGAATTTCCATCAATAACGCCATAAATCATGAAACAAGACAGACGAAAGCAAAAGCAACGTTATATGTATCTAGAAGATGACCTTTGACCTTGAATATTTTGACTCGAGTTCGCGAGATTTATTTAAAGTTTGAATATCTTTCAATCTCGGGCTTAATCTGAATTGACTGGAAAGTGCGTCGCAATAATGCTCCAAAACGTAGTTTCGTATCTGTTCATTTCAGAATGGTGGACAATAAAAAGTATCTCAATGTTTGTGAGTGCAATATCCCATTACATTTGCCGCCTGCACTCAGCCCGATGCGTATTTATGCGATTGCACAGCTGTGGCATAAGGCATTTCATTGCCGTTTTATGTGTACCTAACGTACACATCTTATTCCATTTGAATTACATGAGCATATTGCGTATTACTAAATTCAATATGTGTACGAAATCAGGTTTTGGTACTACGTATAACTCCTTTTGCAGTTACCGTAAAAGCTTATTTATACATTTTATTTCTAAAAAGCACCAAGAATCTAGTTGTAATTTTAATATGATGGGAACAAAAGTTAGGAAAGCTCCAGTTCAAATCTCAATAAAACAAATAAAGGCTGAAAGAATTCAAGGGATCATTGAAAGTTCCATGTGAAAGTTATATTGGAAACTTATCGTGACTCGAGCGGAGCCGTCCGGGCACTTGAGCGTGCAGTTGCAGGCGGCGCAGGATTGCCGCATAGTGTTGCAAAGTAACTTGCAAATGTCTTTCGCCTTATAACTAAACTAGAGCATATTGGAGATAATAAGGGCCTGTTTCTTCTATTGCTGATAGTCCCTGATAGCTGATTAGAATTTTACTGGATAAACTACAACTTTTGATTGTATAGCTCTCGGATAGAGTTACCGTCTAGTGTTACCGTGACTTTCCGTCACAGATTATAGAGATATTAACTGAAATATTATCAGGAATTGGCCCTCAAGTTCCCCTACATATGTTAGACACACTTTACTAATAACATTATAATCTCATAAACACATTGATGACACCTTCTTGATCTTAAAATATAAAACTATTAATGACAACAGTTTCAAGAGACGGCACCCCTATAATATCGGTTCCGATATCAATTGATTGCATCCGTAAGTCAAAAAACTTCCATGGCGAATGAAAATTAAACCGATCCAGAACTATTTGCTTTAGTAAATAGCCCGTTGAAGCGCAGGATACCACGGCCGAGTCAGAATCGCGCCGAAAACTGGTAAAGCCTGGTCCGTGAGCATGTAGAATTTTGTCGCGTAATTATATTGCTGTCGCGACTGTGCGACGGGCGCCCGCAGTGAGCATAATTACGCGCGAGCGATAAGGATGGGTAGCTTGGGGTCATCGGACAAAATTCTACGTGCTCACGGACCAGGCTTTAGTAACAAGTAGTCGGCCCACACGCAGTTGGATTTCGTTGCGTCAGTCAGTTCGTTACATGCATAATACTCGTAATTTTGCAGAATTGCTGACGGCCATGGCTCGTTACGGTGATGGCAATTAGCATCGGAGCGTAGTGGGCGTCGCCCGATAGCAGGCAATCAAGGAGTATTTCTGGCGTTTGCCGGTCATGATGTAGTAGACATGTACGTACTTTAATTGGGTGGTTGTCAACAACAATCAGTGGGTACGTTGTTTTTGTTATTTGGGCAGTGAGAACAAACAATCAATGACTTTTTATGTGCTGTTTTCTCCATAGATTTCTTAAAACAGTAAGAAGCTATGACGTTCTCATTCGACAACGGAAAATCATCGGGGACAAAATTCAGGGTGGTTTTACTCGAAGATAAGTTGCGCTTTAGAATTATTGAGTAATGGAGTTAACTACTAAATTACTCGTATGTCAGATTATTTTGGAGCGTGCTATTCAAAATACAAAGGCATCCATGCACCTACAATAGATTAGAATACATTTATTTCCAGAAAAATACACTTTAGTTACATAAGTTTACAAAGTAGGTATACCTACTAATAGGATTTCAGGTGACTTACTAGTAGTCCCCAAACTAGGTAGTCCTGTCTTTTGGTCATCCATGAACCTTACGGTAGAAACATACATAATTTCCCTGGAGTAATTGGGGCAGTGTAACAGAATCAAAACTAAGTAGGTGAGTAAGTAGTATGAAGCCTGAAGGGCGGAAAGTTGCTAAAAGCCTTCCGGTAGGTGTCAATACATCAGCCATCAAATGGCACCGTCAGGTGACCCACAAGCCCGTTTTCCCTGTTCCGTAAAAAGTCAAACGAGTATCTATTAATCTACTGATGAGGGTGAGCTTAAATTATGCAAAATAAAATTGTTGTTTTAGGTTGCTACTAACCGAGAATAGCTACATCAACTGGGCCATTTAATAGAATTCTGTGAAGTCTATAATTGGTTCGAACTTAAAAGTTTCTTTGGGGTTATTGCCGATTCAGTTTTTTTTTTTGAGATCATTAAAAATATATTTGTATGTGTAAGTTGAATCGATTTGGTTGGCTCGCCAGTAGTAGTAGTAGCTAGTACTAGTAGTATAGTAGATAATACGAGTATTAGATCGATCGAGTTTGTGAAATCATAATCAAAATATTACTACAATGCACAGTCGCGCAAAAAAACTCAGTGCTAAGGGTAAAGGGACTGCCAGGAAATAGTATGTTATAGTATTTACCTAGAATGTGTTTTAAACTAGCTTAGCTTAGCTTTTACCAACTGCTTTGCTCGCCTCGAAGTCTCGAAGTTTCCCAGTAACTTTGGCCGGCCGGATTTGTCGATTGACTTTGAAATTGGACATTGCCTAATTGGAACAATTGACGAACATCATTTGTAGTGCTCTATTAGTTGGCAAGTGGATTCAGAGTTACAAGCAATAAAATTAAACCGCAAAATGGTTAATGGGAGCTTAAAGCTTTAATTTGAGTATTATAGTCCAAATAATGCACTGTAATGATCATTGTGTACGAGTAATTGCGTATTTGCACAAACTTATATTAACAACAGAATTTAACTTTAACTTAACATTCTGCTATAACTTAAAGTTAAATGCTATCTCTAAAAGTGCCAGTACCTAACTTAAGACATTGTCTTACAAATTCTGAGAATAGTGGAGTTTGTAAAGTGACAATTTAAGTACGAAGCGACTTGGGACGCTTTGTGAAGGATTGATATATCAAACGAGACTATTTTAACGTGCCACCCGTAGCACAGAATGCTTAGGTATTGTGTCATCGGACAAAGGACAGTGATGCGACGACGAAACTGAGGGCCAGGGCGTGGAAATGTCACGGACACATCGCCGATAAAGTTGGAGCGTGCTGCGAAAGTGCCGCCCTACCCTTGAATTGGTATTGTGCCGATATATCACTATCGATTGCAACTATAACTCTCGAATACGTCAAAATCTTGAGTGTACCAAAACTAACGTGAGATTTCCAATAACAAGCCGTTCAATTACGGTTAAAAAGTAAACCGAAATTGTCGATATAATATTATCAACAATTTCGATAGAAATGAACCGAATAATCGTGTGTCTAGCTCAGTTCTCGATAAATAGTCGCACCGAATCGACAAGATCGGGAATCTCTACCCTAAATCAGGTTCACCGCCCAACTTCAGGCGGAAAACTGTCCCCAATATTCGATTGATTCCACCTGGAATAATATAAGACCGGCTATTTTTACCGGTCAAAGTGGCCGGTCGCCGTGAGCGGAGCGCTGCCGATGATTACAGGAACAATGTTACTCTCTCGTTAGCTATAAACACAACCGTTTAGTGTTTTCATTGACCGTATTGATTATGAAATTTTATTTGAGGTAATCCGTAACCGTAAACTGCTATAGGTGCCATAGGTGGTAAGTATTCAGAAGACACTAGGTGTTTACAAATAAGAAAATAATAATGTCAGTGATTTTACGGGAATGAATGACTCAATCTATGTATTAAAAAAATTTACAGGACCCATAAACTTTACTAAATGATAGTGTCACCTTGCTTTGATAGTTAGCAAGGTAGACAGCCCATCTGCAAACAATGTTGCGTTGAATCGTACGTGTACAGGCGTCAGCACATTCAGGCATACATTATTGTTGAAAAAACGCTTTTATTACAACTACCTAAGATGTCTGTGTTTAGGTTGATGTGCCGTCGTCTGTACGTATTCAGCGAGACAGAATAGACAACACACAAACTTATTCTAAAGCCTTCGGGCTTGGCATTGTAGATTGTTGCGACACTTCTTGATATGGAAATCTGTATCTTTTGGGATCGCAATAGATACGTATATCAAAACAGGCTAAGAATCGCCAAAATAAAATAATTATTTTAATACAAACCAAGTCACGCATTTGAAAATTTAATCAAGCGAGCATATTCTTTTAAAACCTGCTGTCCCGTTTTTTGGGGGGCAGGGGACGTAATAAATGTGAAGCTCCGTT